TAGGAACAAAATTTTTCCTACGAGCTTCATATCAGGTAGGTAATAACAAAAATTTAAAAAAAAAACGATAATTTGTTTAATTATTGTTAATTAACTTGAAGGGAACCTATGCATTTATCAAAAAATTACATAACAAAAAAAAATAACAGAAAATCCTCGTCAGAGCTGTTCATCTTAAAGCGTTTAAATTTGATGAGAAAGTTTGTAGATTTTTGCATATAAATAGAGAACAAATCTGACAATGTGTCAAAGTTAATTTATATTTGGTGTTTGTATAGATGTTGGCTGATATAGAAACAGAGGAAAAATTTGTCATCATGTGTCAAAGTCGACAGGTCGACAGGTGCACTTATTGTTGCTTGACAATTATAATTACTTTTCGGCACTCAGTGCGGATAAGGCCTGTATCCGCACTGGGTGCGGAAAAGTGTAACTTTGAGCCCGGAAATGCGTGCGGAAAAGTACTACTTTGCGCACGCTCGTAGGAAAAGTACTTTTTTGTACGCTCACGGCCGGACAAAAAAGTGACGTCACAGAAATTTCCTAGATTCCATCGCTTTGAACACCGTTTGCGGAAAAAATAGCATGTTTTATTCGGAGAAAAGCACTTTTTGTGGCTCGTCTAAAATTGTCAGACTCACTACGTTCGGCCGTCAAACATTTAGTCTCGCCACAAAAAGTATCACTTTTACTCCTAATAAAACAATATACTATTAGTTTGTGGTGTGGTGCGTGACAAAAAAATGTTTAAAGTTTAATTGCAGAGCCATTCTGTGGTCGATCATCATCCGATAAAGCTGAAATTGGAATTGCAACCCCCCACATTTCTAATATAGGAGCCGCCACTGCTTGTGTTGCCAACATAGTTATTAAAGTTTTGACTTGGGGAATTATCTTTTAAAAAAAAACTGACTTTACTTTTTCTTTTATTTAGTCGCAAAATTTTCATATTTAATGAAAAATTAGTAATTTTAAGTTTCTAGCACACGATATACAATAGGTATACAGGGTGGGCCATTGAACTTAAGACATTATTGAACTTTTTTCTTAAAAAAACGCGCCATTTTCGAGTTATTGACTCAATTTAAATGGACCACCCTGTATCAGGGTTGCCAGATCTATGAAATGAAAAAGCGGGACTGATGTTATCCAGAGGGAAATTTTTTTCGGGTGCCACGCCCAAAAGCATAAGGGTGGGGAGGGGCAAGTGCCCAATGTGTCCCCCTCCTATGGACCCCGTTGAGCAAAAGTGCAACAAATTTTTGGGAGCCACGCCTAAATTTTGTTAAGAATTCAACCAAAACTCGACCAAAAAAAAAATTCTCCTTTATTAGATAACAAATAAAGGCTTCACGACAAAACAACAGAAAACATCATTATTTATACCCTTGAAATAAACGCTATACTTTTTCTATGACCATTATGTTATGGTTTTTGCCGTTAAACTAATGAAATGTTTTTTCACAAGGGTTCCTACTTCGTTTAATAGATGGCGCTTGAAAACGTGGATGAATCAAGACACCATCTATAAAAAGTTCTCGTTTTTAATTATTTTATTTCTATTATTTTGCTTTTATTACATTATATTATTCTATATTATAATTGGATTTGAAAGAATGTTTTTAACACGTAAAATCCTAATCATTCACTTTCGTCACTAAATATTTTATCACTAGTGACGAAAGTGACGTTTTCGGCTAAGGTGAAATATGACGAAAGTTGTTTATTTTTCAATGGCCAGAAAAAAAGTTTTTTGCAGATGCTAGTTTGTGCAATGAAAGATTTGGATTTTGTTGGAATTTTTGACATTTTTATACTTACAACATACATCATTTATTATTAAAACCCAAGAATCGTAGACGTAAACTAGCAGGATTGCTCATCCTGAGAAGGCGTACGTTCGCCGGTTCTCAAGTCCACAAGGTCTGCGAGTGACGTCACCATGTCAGCAGCTAATAGTGGTGACGTCACCCGCAGACCTCGATGAAATGCTTGCGATTCAGGCTCGTTATTTGATTTTTGCGTCGATTTTAAATGAAGATATAGCTATTTATGTAACAAGTTGTAAAATGAGCGTGTTTTTTGCACTAAATGTGAAGATTGGGTAGAAAAAATGGAAAAACCGGGACAATTCACGTGAAAAGCGGGACCTGAAATTCATAAAAAAAAGGCGGGACCGATTAACAAAATGCGGGACTGTCCCTCCTGGTGGGACGTCTGGCAACCCTGCCCTGTATAAGTATGGGTACAACATCTCATTCCCGACTGTAAGTGAAGGCGCAATAATTGTTTTTTCCACTACCACGAGTAAAGTACTTACGCTACGCACCTTTTAGAAGACATAAAATGTCACGTACCAGTGCGTAAAGTAGTTTTTTTACTACTAACCTGAGAAGAAGTCATTATTCCAACAATTTTTCTGGGAAAAAATTGAATTTCTCTCCCTAGGTTAATAATGGGAATAATGAAAAAATACCTAGGTCAATAATGAAAATGACGTCATGACGGAAGGATATTGTCATAACGTAACAGGTTTCTATTGGTTTTATTTCAGTGTCAAACTGTCAATTTTAAAAAAAGCAGGTTCCTGTATTACATTATAGGAAATTACCGTAAGCTGTTGATAGAGGGCAGCACTTCCGACAAGAGAAAATAATTTGAGCACAGGTTTCAAACCTTAGACCAAATTCTATATATCCATCGGTAGAGAAAGTCATTATATACCTTACATCTGAATTTGTCTATAAAGATAATTCAGAGGCTTCGAATAGAAACACAATACTTTGTACCAATGTTTTCTCAATTCGTCTTGAATTTCCTTTCTTTATTCCTAAATTTTTTCATTCCTATAATTATGGCCCTTTTAGTGAAGTGTTTGCGAACAGTTATTTACAAGTGGAAATCGATAGATCCTTTAGTGTAGAAGGACAATCCAAAAGTCCCAAAAAATCGCATGTGAGCTTTGAATATAAAACTACAGCAAGGAGCGTTTTCTATCTGTCATTCTTGGTCACTACAGACAACGAAGGGACGGAAACGGCCATTTTGAGCCTCCAAGTTTGGACTCATCATTTGTTTTGGTGGTTCCCTATGTCCTCATTTAAGTGGATGTTTAATGGATTTTAGCGGTTTTAAGTGATGATAAGTACTGGAATTAGTGAGAAAAGAGTGAGTCATAATATTGACAATCATATTTAAATAAATATACGCCACTGCCAAACCGGAAATACTAGTCGGCCATATGCAACCTCCACATATTTTGGTCGCGCAGATTCGAAGTTATGCTCCTTCCTGTAGTTTTATATTCAAAGCATGTGAGCTAAAGTCGCCATTTTAAAAAACATGGCCGCCAACGTCTTTACGTTAAACAGTCACCGTTGGTCCTATTTCCATTTTATTTTAGGGAGTACCTACCACCAAATTCAAGTCACCGGAAGAATTTGGTTGCAAGGTGTGCAACAACGAAATGTTTCCAGTAACTACGCAGCATCAGGCTCCAGCACCCTCAGAACTTCTAAGCCTCATTTATTGTAAATGTAGAAATGGTTGCCAGAAAAAATGTGTGTACTCGAAAGTCGGACGCTGCAGTGCTATGTGCCAAAACTGTCATAGGATGGACAATCTGTGGGATTGACTGTAAAGAAGCAATTTTTCGCGAGGATAATCAAGCATAATCTGATTATGCTGGGTTATGTGATGTGCCAATTGTGTCATACTCCCTTAACTCCATCAAATTCTGGGCCTGCAAGTGACGTCTCTATCAGATAAGCTTAGAGTGATGGTGTCACCCGCAGACCTCGATGATGGATTGCCATTTTAAAATAACTGTTCGGGAACACTTCACTCAAAAATTAAGATTTGCCTGGTGTACCAGGTGTAGGCTCTTCAATTTACCGAACTAAAGAAAGTTAAAGAGCCTGGAATAGAAAAAAACATGAATGACCTCCTTATCTATTATTTTTTTAAAATTATTTCTTGATTTTTTTTTTTCTCTTCATTTCTCGATTTTTCCAGCTCAATTTTTGTCTCTTCCCGGCCCTTGAATGTTCGTTTTCTTCTAAGTTTCTCTCAAATTAGAGTAATGTAAGAGCTTGGAATAGAAACTTACGTTGGGTACATTCAGGCGGTATGGAGGCCTTTTCGAAAACGCTGATTCAGAGCCGCTTTTCAGTATGGGAGTGTGACGCTCGGAGCTACTCGGGGCGTTGTGCTCCCGAGCTGTACGTACGCGTCAACCTGTCAGCTGTCACATCCGTGGCTAGCTATTTATTTATTTATTTCTTGTTATATCTCGGGATTTAACATTTTCAAGATATAGTTTTGATTCTCTTTCATTTTTGATAAATAAAAAAACAAACTGCACAAACAGATAATTATTTTTAAAATTTGACATATTTGACACTAAAGACAGGCGTCTCATGCCATGATACTGGAACGGTACAAATCTAGCGCCCCCGAGGTGCTCTAGAACGCGCCAATGTGCATACTGGAAAGCAGCTCTTGAAAGTCAGGAATGCAGGTGACGTCACAACACTTGTCAACAAATTTAGCCGATTGAGCAATCCTGTAGAGTTTACGATTCTTGAACCAAACCTACTTTTACCAATTAACGAACGCCACAGCGTCAATAGTGTAAAAAGTGTCGACACATTCTACCATTCCGAACTCACCTTTTAAAAACTTGCCCATGCACTGGCTATGTTCCGATGTCACCTACCATTTACTGTCATTGTTATTTGCCGTTCTAATTTCAATAGCGTACTCTGGTCATTTAGTACTGAATCGACTGGATCCAGTGTATTGAAAATAATATCGGAACAGCGTCCAGTAAATTCAGTACTGACAGTTGATATCGTAACATAAGCACTGGTAAATATGGTTTCAAACCGCTTTTAACCCAATGTCCAAAAAGTGAACCCGAGAAATCGGCTCAGGGTGATTTTTCTTTTGAACTGAGTGCAAGTTCCAACCAATGATCTGACAACAGTGTAATTCCAACTGTCAAAACTCAGCCTACACGTTTGTCGTTTGTTGACATTGACATTTCTTTTTTGAAAATACGCGATCATGGTAAGTTAAAATTCTTGTTGACAAATATTTTCTTCAAAAATCTGAGGCATCTTCAATTAAAATACCCCAAAAACTCGCTTAAATCAAAGCAAAAAGTACAAACCCTATATTCGTAAAAATATTTTTTGGATAAATGGAGTTTTTCCCCAAAAACAAGTTGGTGAAGTGAAAGTTGCTTAAAAAATGTTTTGTTTTCCTTTTAGTCCACCCAAAAGAAGAAGACCAGGAAGTTGAGAGGGCACGTCTCTCACGGACATGGACGTATTGGTGAGTAAATTTCCCATTTTTCCATTAAAATCCATTGAAAAATAAAAAACATCAAATTATGTGAGGTTATGTATCTAGTATAGAAAACTTATTGAAATTCAAAAAAATGATGAATTATATGAACGGGCGGTCTGATTATCTTTGATTAATGTTCATTTTCTGATTATTTTCATAAAAAAAACTTATAATTTTCATTTACATAAAATTTACATGTTGAAAATATTTGGTATTTTTTTTTAGGAAAGCACCGTAAGCATCCTGGAGGTCGTGGTAACGCCGGTGGTATGCACCATCACAGAATCAACTTTGACAAATACCATCCAGGTTACTTTGGAAAGGTAAGTCACCATCATATAAAATATACAGGGTTGTCATTTATATGTCATACCATACCTGGTGGTTTTTGGGAGGGAATGCCCGATTCAATGGTAGTATTTGCAACGTTGCCAAGTTGTTGTGTGTATTGTAATTAATTCTGCATCGAAACATTACTTAGGGCTGTTTCTACCAACTATTTTTGGGGAGCCTTAACGATAAGTATTTCATAAACTGACATTTCTCAATGTAAAAATGTCATTTTAGGGAATACTTATCGTTAAAGGTTCCCTAAAATAGTTGGTGAAAATGGCCATGAAACCCCTAAATGCCAAACCTCCATTTGACTTCTTTTTTGATATCTGGCAGCACAGCTTTTTTTTTCGAAATGCATGAAAACTGTCTATTATTCTAGAACAGCCTTCAGATAAAAGTACAATACTTTCTATCAGTCTTGTTATAAATCCTTAATACATATTATCACAGTTTTCTCAAAGCCTGTTTTGACTTATGACATCTTTTTCATACATTCATTTCAACAAAAAGGCTGTGCTGCCATATTTCAAAAACCAAGTCATATGAGGTTTTGGTAATGTTGGGACGCTGAATTAATTATTGCAATAAAAACTTTCATTTAAAAAAATTAAGTTACAATATATGCTTTTCACTTATTATTGGCGTAGCATTATCCATGGAAATTTGACAGGTTGACCCTCGTATAATAATGACATTTGATGACAACATATTTTTCAAATTTATAATAATAATAATCCTTTATTTAGCACCTGGCTAATACATAAAACAAAATACAATTAGGTACATATTCTTAAATTACAAACCTAAAAAAAATAAAAAAAAAATAAATAAAATTAAACAATATAGGTATACAGTATATACTCCCTACTCCTAAAAATCACAAACAGACAATAATTACAAAACTAAAATAGAAACAAAAAAGTCAACTAGGTATATCATTCACCCAGCAAGCGACACTTCAATCTATTTTTGAAAATTTGCAGACTACCCACATTCTTTATGCAACTGTGCAATGAATTGAAAGCAATTAACCCCTTATGATAGACTGCCCTTTCTGAACAACTTTTGTTCTTTTTGTGAACATAAAAATTATCTTTATTTCGTGTTGGATAGTCATGAATTATTTCATTAGTAACTAGTCTATCAGTCAAATAATTCGGCGCTAGTCCATTTTTTATTTTATAAATAAACACCAACACTTGAAATTCTAAAAACTTTTCTATAGAGAGCCACTTTAACTTATCTAGCATTAGTTTTATTGGTGTATCTCTCTTTTCTCCCAAAATTATCCTCATGGATCTATTCTGTAATTTTTGTAATCTACTAATTTCATTTTTGTTTGCCAGATACAGAACAGTTGAACTATACATTAAGTGGGGCAGCACCAAAGTATTGAAAACCGTCATTCTTGACCACTGTGTTAAAAACCTGGACACTCTATACAAAAAATTAATGTTTTTTGTTAATTTTTCAATTATACTCATAATATGTTCCTTAAAGTTAAGTGCTCTGTCAACTATAAAGCCCAGATACTTTATTTTCTCCACCAATTCCACTTCTTTCCCATCAATTAATATGTGAAGATAACCTGCCCTGTACTCATTTTGGTATCTGGAATTCCCGATCAACATAAATTTTGACTTGCTGTTGTTCAACTTGAGCGAATTTGAATCGAACCACTTATTTAATTCCTTCATATCTAAATTAATTTTATCCACCAAATATTGCAAATCCTTTGAGTAATAATATATGAGCGTATCATCCGCAAACAAATGAACCGAACAGTATTTTATGGCCCCCCCAATGTCATTGATATACAAGAGGAACAGCAAGGGTCCCAAAATGCTTCCCTGCGGAACACCATTGTCATTCAATAGCTCTGCAGACGTTTCTCCTTTAACTCTCGTTACCTGTTTTCTATTTTCAAGATAATTTTTTAGCCACTCTAATGCATTCTCCACTATCCCAAACTGCTTTAATTTATTTACCATGATCTCTCTATTTATTGTTTCGAAAGCTCGTTTCAAGTCCAAGAACACAGCCCCAATCGCATAATTGTCATCCAAGAGATATTTCCAATCATAAATTATATTCTGGATAGCAGATTCACAACTATGTTTCTTTCTAAAGGCTGATTGGTTATCGATCAAGATATTATTTTGGATAACAAAATCAAGCAATTGACCATAAACCACCCTTTCCAATATTTTTTCTGTTGCAGCCAACATATTTACCGGCCTTAAATCTTTTGCCTCTATGGAGCCCTTGACTTTCTGAATTGGAATCACTGTTGAGACCTTCATTGTTGATGGAACCTGACAGCTTTCTAACGATGAATTAATAAGATTTAAAAGAGGCTCTTTAATTGACTGAAAAGTATTCTTCAAAAATTGAGACGCAATCTCGTCTGGACTTCCCTTGTCCGGTAATGAAAAAACAATACCCTCCAATTCTTTCATGTCAATCAGCTTAAAAGTACTTAATTCTCTTAACTGATTCAGTTCCGTTTCTTCCCTGGCAACTTCCACAATTGAATCATCCACTCTAATACCTTCCATCTCACTCACTATGATATTCACGCAATCACGCTCTCTATAAAAAACACATTAAGTTTTTCTGCCATATCCTTTGGTGATGTGCTAATTTTATCATCTATTTTCACCCTATCAATTGATTCTCCTCAGTAATTCTAGTTTCCGTTAAGCAAACTAAAAGAGGATTTGTGCTCAATATAAAATTATGAATCTCATACAACTTTGAAGGAAGACTCTGCGTGTTAATTATTGTTATTTTGTTACTTTTGAGGCATGGCCTCTGCGTAAAAAACTGTTGTTACAATTATTAACAATTACCCTGTTTTGACACTTGGCACAATTCACTATTTCTCTGCTATTTTGAGAGATTCTTCCTGTTAATGCCTTGACAATCTTATACTTTCCCTCTGTCTTTAAATTCAATGAACCATTGTAAACCATATTTGAGGCATCAATTATAGAATTAAAGTGAATAAACTGAGCGAGCTTACTTCCCAAACATAACTCATTATAAACAAATTTGTTATGTTGATTAATGAAATTATTAAGAAATATGTTATTATTCCAGGCACTGTGTACATTAATACATTTGTGTAGTTAGCCACCTCCCTAATTTTTCCTATTGTTTTAACATTGACTCTACTGCCCCTTATAATATCTACTGAACCCCCAATAACAATTACAAAATCTTCATTAGAAAAACCCTTTGTATCAATAAGAATACTAGCAACAACCTCATCCAGTGGCGCATTTGGTTTAATCTATGATCTGACTACAAAACTATTGCTTACATATTCATCCAGAATGTCCCTAAAATGACCACCTATACTATCTCCCAATATCAAAACTCTATTTTTTTCTTTTGTTTTGTTTTGCTCCATACACTCTATCATGGATCCTGATTTCACCATTTCATTTTTCAACTCCCTTAGTTCCAGTTCATTAGATTCCCTCTCTGCTTCCAGTGTCTCAATAGTAGTTAGCATCTGCTCTCTCGTCTCCCTTAAATTTCTAAGGTCCTCCAGCAGCTTAATACCTTCCTGTTTACCTCGATTCACCAATTCCTCCAATTCTCTGTTGCTTTGTTGAAGCTTAGCAACGTCCTCAGTGACTGCTCCAGAACTGCCCAAAGATCGATCCATAACTGACCCTATACAGATTCCACAAGCAAACATAAGTGATCTTTTAGTCAGTTGTGTAACACGACACTCTGATGTAGAAAGATTTGAGCATGAAACGCAAAACCTTCCTCTGCAGAAATCGCATATTATCTTAAATTTCACTTCTTCAGGTGTCGGTACCTTCTGACATTTTGAGCAATTTCAGGGTTATGAAACAGAAAGCCGAGTTGCCAGAATGTGTAAAATATCTGAGTAAATTCAAATAGTAAAATTATTCAATTTATTAATTAAATATAACCATAACAGTAAGCTCAATAGCATAAATATGTTTTTGTACTCACTTTACGCACTATTCAGAAGACGTAAAATTTCACTTCACGCACTAGTGCGTAAAGTAATTCACTTCTCACACTAGTGCGTAAAGTAATGTCAGTGACAGATGTCGACACTGTCAATTTGGCATTTTTCTGGTAAATCACTTCACGCACTGGTGCGTAAAGTGAATAGCTATTTACCTAACAAATGCGGCCGAGTGCGGAAAAATATTTTCCGTAAGTGTTAGGTACAATATTTTTCCTAGAGGCGTAAAAATGTAAAATTTTTCTTTTTTTTTTTGACATATCAGTGCAGTAAAATTTTTTCCGCACTGACAGCTGTGCGGAAACACTTTTTCCGCACTGATATGTCAAAAAAAAAAGTTTTACCGCACCGTGCGGGAAAACTCATTTTCCGCACGCATATCAGTGCGGAAAATCGATTTTTCCGCACGGCTGTAGGAAATATTCTTTACGCACTAGTGCGTGAAGTATTTGGCAAAATTTATTTTTTTATAATCAAATCAATCAAATCAAAATATGCTTTATTGTAAAAAGAGCAAAATATCTTGTCTACAAAGCAGAAAAATACAATAATAAGAAAAATACAATAAACACAATAATAAAATGTCAAAATTTAAATTCACAAACAACCGTAAGAGTAATAACAGTACAATAAATAATAAATACAATATTAAAATGTCAAAAATTAAATATTGTTAGTAGAAAAAATTTTGTATGCAATCACCTTTTTTCACTTATGTGATTGTCAAAATTCACATTCGTGAAAAAAGGTTCACTTTACACACTTGTTGCATAAATAACTATTTTGCAGTAACTTTTTTTTCGGGTTTGAGATCCGTTTGGTAGATCCAAGTTTCATCTAAATACACGAATCTGATATTTTCGTTTGAATGTTTGTATTGGAGGTATTTCCGCAAAAATGTAATTTTGGCAGCAAGAACATGTTTCTGCTCACATAAAATGTTGCGTCCATTTACTGCTTCAAATTTATATCCCATAAATTTTAAAATTTTATATAAACTTGTTTGCCCTCCCTTAAATTCCAAATTTTGTCAGTAATGTTTGTAATGTAAAATATTCATTTTTAGAATTGTATTTCCAAATTTGTCGTTGTAAATCTTCTTTAAACATTCGGTCCATAATAATCTCTGTCTTTTTTGGTCGGCCTAAAGGTTTTTTGATTGTATATTGTCCAGTTAAAATTCTTTGAATAGTCCTGGTTCCGACCTAAAATTTAAGGAAAATGTTGGTTGGGTAAGAAATGGCTTTACATCTACATTTAAGTTATACCTATCTCAAATTAATCTGCAAGTTGGGCTTCAATTGTTCCCTGGAGAGCCTCTGGTTTATTTTTTTTTAAATAACCATGACATTTTAATATTCCCCCTTTTTTTTTCTGAGATTATTTTCGGCATCTTCAATAGGAAAGAAATTTGACAATGCTGAATTTTAAAAAATGTCATTAGATTTTGCAGGTATGCAAAATAGTTAGGTACCATTTATAATATAGCATTATTGAAAAATGTGTCAAATTTGATTTGCCAGATAGGCCAGAAAATTTTAGTACCGCGGCATTTACGAAATTATGTAAGCCACACTTAAAACTGTCTGGAATTTGACATATACTGTCATTATTATACGAGGGTCAACCTGCCAAATTTCCATGGATAATGCTACGCCAATAATAAGTGAAAAGCATATACTTACTGCATCTTACTTGGCAACATTGCAAAATACCACTATTGAATCAGGCATTCCCAAAAACAATAATGATGATTTGTTGAACGGGCGGTATGAAAATATCTTGATTAATGTTCACTCACTGATTCTTAACCCCTAAAAACAATAAATTAATTTTATCATAAAACAATATTTCATTTTAATTGTTTTGTTTTTTAGTTGGGTATGAGGAATTACCACATCAGGAGAAACACTAAATGGTCTCCAGCTATTAACCTTGACAAACTATGGACCCTTGTCAGTGACCAAACTAGGCTCAAATACAAGGACCATCCAGAAGGAAAAGCCCCAGTAATTGACATTGTCAAAGCTGTAAGTTGTTTAAGTTTTAAAAATCAATTATATTATGATTTTTGTGATGATTTAGTTGAACGGGCGGTATGAAAATATCATTGATTAATGTTCAATTGCTGATTTATTCAATCATTATTATAAGTGAGTTTTGTTTGAGAAGTTTTTTTTGATGGATTCTTTTTTTTAAGGGTTACTACAAACTTCTAGGAAAGGGACGTCTTCCTGACCAACCTGTCATTGTTAAAGCCAAGTTCTTCTCAAAATCTGCTGAAGATAAAATCAAAGCTGTCGGTGGTGCTTGTGTGTTATCAGCTTAGAATATAATTTATAAATAAATACAAAAAAAAAAAACATAAAAATAAAGTTTTTGTATTATTTTATTCCCGAATGATACTTCATTGGATTTTGCTTGAAAAATTACACATTTGAAACAGTACACAATCTGGCAACAACCAGAGATTTTCACCATCAAGATTTCACAAAAAAAAACTTTGAGGCTTCTGCCTGAAGGGAAACTGGAAATATTGCTAAATTTCTGGAATTATTTTGTGTTTTGGAAAAGATTCAATACAAAAAAAGAGGCTTCAAATTTGAATTGTAAGATTTTTCATGTAAGATTCTAAATTCATAACTAGAAAATTCAAATGAAGAAAAAACTGTTCAGCAGTGGCTCTTCTTCAAAAAGTAATAAATGTGGGACCTACATCTGAAACTTCATAATGAATTCCATTCAGTTTCCTGCTTTTAAAATATCTTAAAGTGAAGAATCCCTCTACCAAAGATATCTTTTATACCTCCCTATCTTGTAAAAACATGTTTGTATATTCATATTTTGTTATTTATTTGGTTTTTCATCTTGTGGCTTATTATTTTCCAGAATTTATACGTTATTTATTTTAATTGGAACATTGCCAAAGATAAGTTATTGGCATATTTTGACTGGAACTTAAAAACAAATAGGTAGGCGCAGTAGGTGGATTATTTTTCTGATTCATCCTGTTATTACTACTTACATATTTCATTGAATTACATTTTCAATATCTGAAATATTATTTATGCATTAAATATTGTTGATACTTTTCTCAATAAAATTTGTCTTGTCTGATGTTGTTTGGCGTTTTGCCTAAAAACTTTCTGAATTGGGATTCACTATATTGCAATTTGAATATAGTGCACTTTTCTAGAAATACTATGACTCATGTAAAGTTTCTTCTAAAATAAAATAAATCTTAAAATTCCTATTTAATATTTCTCAATTTTTTTTGTACACATCTATTCTATTAATTGGTTAAATGAAAAAATTATTGATAGTTGTGTCTCGATTATTGATAGGAAATCAATTTTGGGAGATTTTGCTGAATTTAATTTACCATAAAAATTAGATTTGATATGAATAATTTGTATAATAATAATAATAGTGTAAAGATGTAATAATGTTCTTTTATTTCTTGCTATCTAGAAACCCAAATTTTTTCCTGTGTGAAGCATTATTATGACTTTATTATCATTTCCCTCTCCAACTGATTTACAATTTTTTTTTTGTCAACTTCTGCGAACTTTTTCACTATTTGTCCAGCTTTTTCTTTGTTGTTTTGTTCCAAATTTCATTTGCTAGTTTTAATTTCCATAAATTATTAATTCTTTTCTAATTGTGACTAATTTCTATGGTATTTTTAGCAAAATGTTTATACTTTTTGTGGTTTTTTTGCTACTTTTGTAAAGATTTTAAATAGGGATTCCGCGAGACGAGGAGTCTCTTGTCTCGATGAGCTCGAGAATTCTTCTCTTGTCTCGTTTTCCTCTCGTTTCTCGTCAGTTTTCATACATAGTAGGTTAATTTCGACTCAGAGGTCAAGAAAATGCAAAAAATTTATGTAACATTACCCATAATCCAAGGCTCTAGAAAATATTGCATTGGACATTTAACTATTTTTTAAATCTCAACAAAAGGCTCGGGATGCCACTGGAATAATAAATCCAAATAGGTATAAGGTCACTTGAGCCCGGGAACTTTTTCGATACCGTGGGAAAATCGGCAGATTTTGCTGGATTTTCACTGGTTTTATGCTGGTTTAGCTGGATTTGTGAAATTTAGCACAAAACCAGTGGAAACCAGCATAAAAACAGTGAAAAGCAGCAAAATTGGCAACACACTGGAAGCAGGATCGCTCAAATATGTTTTTGCTTGTGTTGCTATGTTGCTCATAACCTGATGAGCGTTGAAATTCAATGAAAATTAAAGGAGTTGTGAAGCAAAAACTGTCTCAATGTCATTTTTTGAAAATGTTCAATTTTGAAGTTTCTTAGCTGCAATACTATTTAAACCAAATTAAAATCGTAATTGACAGATTTGTAGAGAATTTAATTAGGGATGCACCGAGTATTCGGTTTGCCGAATATTCGGCCACTTTTGAGTAAATGCCGAATATTCGTTATTTGGCCAGCAGCGATAAGGTATTCGGCGAATATTCGGCAAATATTTGGCAATTATTCAAAAACACACAAATGCACACAAGTCGCCACGGGAATTCACATTAATGAAAATAAAATCGGTATTGCCAACTGCCAACAATGCCAATCCTAAACTAACCCAACACCCAACCTTTAAAATAGAAGAAATTCCAATGACATTAAAAAAGCCTAAGAAATTATGCAACCAACAATCCATATTAACCGAATATTCGGCCGAATAATGGCTGAATATTCGGCCAAAAAACCAGGCCGAGGACCGGCCGAATATTCGTTATTCGGCCAGTGACCTAAACCACTATTCGGTGCATCTCTAAATTTAATTTAGTCGAAATCGGAAAAAAGTTAATGGAATTTTGAGACAAAAACTGTCACAGTGTCATTTTCATAGGCGTCGGAACCATGAGGACAATGGGGGCAATGGGAGCTTGACGGCTTGATCCCCTGTAGTGATTTTGGTATTGTATATAGTGGGTGTAGTGAACAGGTACAAAAATATTGAGTTCCTGAACATAACGGATCTCTTGAACAAGCTGGGACGCTGCCAGTATTTCACCACCTTAGATTTAGTTAGCGGTTTCTACCAGATCCAGATGCATTTAAACGACAACGAAAAAACCACATTTAACACAGAAAACGGGCATTATGAATTCTTGCGCATACCCTTTGGTTTGAAGAACGCGCCGGCTACATTCCAAAGAGTTATGGATGATATTCTATATCCCAATATATTGCAGCTTTAACGCTGAAAGATATAACATCACATTAATAATATTCATTATACAAGGGAAAAAAGTATTAGATTTTAGAGCGAGATATGGTTTGCCTCCCGTCACGAAGCGGAGGGAGACAACAAAAAGGTGGCCAAAGAGCGCTGGGAATGCTGGAGGTGGAACAGGGGAAATCGTTATCTTTCGTTCTCTATTCAACCTTAGAGTTTTTCTAGACATTTCATTCTATTGCATTAAAATTGGCCTGTTGCTGACCTGTCAAACCTGTATATATTATCCGTTCACAATCCGATGTCCACAGGTACAGGTAAAATTTATCACCTTTCAATGCTATTTGATAGGGAAAGGTGATAAATTTACCTGCACCTGTGGACATCGGATTGTGAACTGGGTCCTTATTCTTGAAACAGGGGAGCAGCATTCCTAGGAGAACGAGTGTTCCGTCTTTCTCGATGATATGCAACTGATAAAATAAGTAACAAAGACGGAACACTCGTTCTCCTGGGAACGCTGCTCCCCTGTTTCAAGAATAAGGACCCAGGATATAAGTAGTTCATTTTTGGCCATGCCATTAGCTTATTTATAAGTTTGTTTCGTGCCATAAGTTGAGTTTCTTTCAATTTGTTCTGAATGAAGGCGAGGCATCATAGCTAGGGAATGTGCTGATTTCGGTCCATTTGCTGAGGAAATCTGTATATCAAAATTGTCTACTACCGTTTAAATCAGACAAACTGTTGAAACAAATATACAATTTTGTTTAGTTAAGTAATCACAACAATAACGCAAAAACCCAATAGAAACTTTCAAAACTCGGGTTTTTGCCAATCCTGTATTGGGAACATTTTGCATAGAATTTAGGCCCAGTTAATTCATCTTCAGATAAACTTGATGGTAACTGAATTTATCAGAAGAGGAATAAACCAAGCCCTTAGACAGAAAATTATATGAACACATAAAATAAAACATTCTTTATTTATTTGGTTATTTTAAGCTTTTAAAAGCAAAATTAATATAGATTTATATAGCTCGAGAGAACGAGAAAACTCGAGAAATTCTCGACGAGAAACAGCTTTTTTTCTTGTCTCAAAGAGACTTTTCAAGAGAAAGTCTCGTCACGTCGAGACGAAATCCAGAATTTCTCGTCTTAGCGACATCACTTTAATTTTCTGACTTTTATATATTTTTTTTTTTTGTTGAAATTCTTCTTTTAATTTCTAGCTTATCCATTTCTATTTTCTATTAATTTTATATAATTTTTTTTCTAAATGGCTTTTCACGGTGTGTGATGAATAGGTACTTTGATCACATTATTATGAAACTTTCAGAATTCATAAATTGAAAATTGGATACAATGAAACTCAGAAAACTACAACTCTAAATCTGGAAAAATCGTAAACATTTCCAGAAATTAGGTACCTTTGAAGAAATATTTTTGAAACAAATACATATATAGAAAATCTACTTACATCAAAATGCTTTTTAATTAATTTATTTAAGCTTTAAAAAATTGTATATTTGCCTTTCAACTTTGTAAATGTCAATTTCCCAAGCATAGAATGTTGCTTCCGGTACCTAATTAAAAAAAAGTGGTTTGGATGTTAACTAATTTCTAACATTTTTAGCAGCCAACGTTCAAATTTTTACTTTGTTCATAATATAATTAGTCTATTTTTGTGTAAGAATATAATGTACATACATCTTACTATATATTATTTGTTGCATTTAAGTACTGATTTTGGTCAAAACCATCAATGACCTACACTAAAGTGAATGTGCATGCATAGAAAAAAATCGACTACCTATAGGCGTTCTATGGGTCAAGCTCATGGTACTATCGCAGATTCTTTTCATCTAATTTCTCTTGCAGGTAGTCGAAATGAATTTTTAATCGTTAGGCACAGTTAGGTACTGCCTGGAGGTACTTCATTATTCAGTTCGTTACTTAGGCCATCCGGCAACGTTGTCCGACGCCTTTTAAAACAATCACCAGGATAATCAGTATTTAGTGGTAGGGAAGAATATCGTGTGCAAGTTTATTTATGTTTTCGGCTCTTGGTCTAGTTCTAGGAGTACCGCACCAGCGTGTTGATCGCATAATGATGAGCCCGTAAAAACTTTTTTTAAATTAAATGCGTCAATTTTTGAAAAAAAAAAAATGGATGAAATAAGTTCGTCTATATGTCGTTTGCCCAAAAGTGCCAGGGTTGATATCGAATTCCAGGAATTAGGGTACACCGTTCCTCAAGGAAGAAATGGTAAGATTATTTTTGCTTCAAAGATCATATAAACATTTCACTAATGCAAATTAGAATATTTATAACATAATTAATTATGTCTAATGATACGCTTAAAGTTTTATTTTTGCGGGTAAATTTCCATATTTCAAAGAAATAGATCAATAGGATGTTCTTAAAGTCTATCATTGTAAATAGAGTCATTAAAATATTTACATTGATTAATATATTTACCTATTAAAAAGATTTACTTATTAGTACAAATTAGGGAATTCTTTATGATGTAAGGTAATCCTCAAAATTACAACTTTTTGTAATAATTTAAATTATTGTACATTATTTGTAAAACTGTGTATGTAATTACATACTTTAAAAGGACATACCTAATTTTGTACTAAAAACGAAAACAAAACTATTGAATTTAATTTGGTTTTTGGAATTAATTGCAGTGTGCACTATATAAAAGAGCTGGTTAAACCTTTAGACTATATATAAACCTTCAATTGTTGTAGTCAAAAATTAGCAAACAATTTGTTATTTATTGGAAAAAACTGCTCTTCTAGGTTGTTTGTATAATCCTTCCTTTATACTATAAATTCAATTAGTTTACGCTGATACTTAGAATAGAAAAAAACTACGTTTTTTAATGGTAATTACATTATGTTATCGAAACGGTAAAGCTTATTTACTAGGATAATGATGGCTCCATTAGAAAAATATGCCATTTTTTTGAGATTCGGGAAAACATTTATTTCCTCAAGACAATCACATCCAAATAATAATAATAATATGTAATTATGACCCATTAAAATTGAACTTTGGTGGTTTTTTCTTTGTTATTGGATTTCATTCTCGTTTTCCTGAAAAATACTTCGGAGTATCAGATCAATTTCATACTTTCAGGATTTATTAACCAGGATGTTTTCATCAAACAAGGCAAATTTGAAGTCAATTTGAGACTCAGAAATAAAATTAAGAGGTTTTTTCCAACTTAATACCAGAAAAAGTTGGAAAATTCACGTTAAATCACTTTTGAAAAATCCTGAAAAATACTTCGAAGTATCAGATCGATTTCAAATTTTCAGGATTTGTTAACCAGGAGGTTTTCATCAAACAATGCAAAGGACATGGCACGGATTATATGGAAAATAAAGGCCAGTCGATTTTTTTTAAATTTTAATATGTTGTAGAGCTAGGGAAAAGAAACAAAAGTTACCATGGGCCCATTGTGCCCCGACCAATAGGAGACCCAGTAAATGGGTTTGAAGAAAGCTTGGAAAAAGACCGAAAATGGCGCCCCCGCCCTTCTTCCCCAGACAAATTCGCGATTTTCAATTATCTTTTTTTTACGAAAAGGATGTATCAATAACCTAATAGAACTCTTAGGCATAGTTAGTCATATGAATGAAGTGTAGCAAATGCTTTTATTCTACTTCCGTCTATTTTTGTTGCATTAAAGCTGAATATTTTTATCTCAAAAAAACTTAAGTAAAAGCATCTGCTTCTGTTTCATTCATATTACCAATGAATATTCAAAAACCCTGAATATGCAAAAATTAAATCTACTGAAGATAAATTAAATAAATAAAAATAATTAATGTTGCAATGGTTCGCGCAAAGGCCGGTTTGCAGCATCTTTTGTAGCAAACAAAATGTTCAGAGGTGGATATCGAACATTATTTTCATGACGTGCATAACCCAGAAACCACAAAACGCTTGCAACATGGGAACAGCAACCCACTGTCCTTGCTCCCGTTTTACATGTGCAATAATACCCCGTTATTGGCTGTCTGTCATGTTCAAGGTTCTCATTGGGAATAAAGCTAATCCAGATGTTATGTCTTATCCTTTGTGTAAAACGGGAATACACTCTTGACCTTAGCAGACCAGGTTGTAGTTCGGTGGCTTGTAAAGTGAAGTGTTCTACTTCTTCTCGTTGCAAGCGATCTTGGATATAGCTAGGAGCCAACTTTAATTGGTATACTCCTACAGTCAGATCCCGAAGGTATTGTAGATCAAGGTGTGGAAAATTATTGATATTTAGTTCATCTAGATTTTGCCATCTGTCGTCTGGAATAATTTGTCTTTGTAGATTTTCATTATTCACTCTAGCTTGAAGAAGATTATCTCTCGCAGCCAATTCCTTCATTGCTTGTGCAGATTCTACAGTTGCTCCATCCATATGAATGAGAGGAAAATACCGGCTAATAATGGAGCATATTATTCGGAGAAAGATATTCAAAAAAGATATATGCTGTACTGGCAATATATCTCTTAAGAAATGAAAACAAGATTTAATGTGACCATTTCTTGCTTCAATAATCCACCGTGTCTTGGTGATCAATCTTGCTTTATTTGAATCTTCGGTAGATAATTGTCGTTGACCCCGTGGTATTAGAGGAGGCATTTCTGTATCGATACCCAACCCGTTTAAAAAGGGCAAAGCGTCACGATATCCTCTGTCAACGATCAATATATCATCTTCCTGGAACCAATTCCTTACACGATTAAGATCCTGATCATTAGCTTGCTGAAGATGATCTTCAATCATAGCAGCATCATTATTTCTTCCATCTGAAAAATATGGCCCATGAACATCTAGTATATATCCATCTGGTGCAACTATAAGTCCTGGTTTTAGTAGATGGCACCCCTTATAAAGACAATACGATTGCCTGAGTGCTCGAAAATTAGAGCTTTTCGGAATTTTGATATAAGTTCCATCGACATAGGCTATTGCCTTACGTGTTTCAGGATGATCGTTATACAGCTCATTCGCAAAAGGTGTTACATGTAATTCTATATAATTTTCTCTTTCTATTGCTCCTACACAAATATTTTCATCTAGAAATCTGCCACTCAATGATGTTCGAACTGCTGTTATTGTCAGACTCACATATTGTCTGCTAGGAAAACACATGAGCACCTTCAATGTACTATCCGACAAGCCAAGTTTCAGTTTAATTAAAAATGCTATGGCATCTTTTTTGGAAATATTTCGCGTTGATCCATATAAAACAACATCATCACAATAGGTATACAAGTCGCGAAATTTTTCCTTATTGAGATTAGTCAATAACTTAAAATCTTCTTCTGAAAAATCATTCTCCGTACTTTTTGGGTGAATATCTATTTTATAAAAATTCAAATTAGTGTGCTGAACAATCGCATATTCCGATTTTCACTGGACTGTTAAGCATGCTAATTTTAATTGTTACAAAAGAAAATGACTTCCCCACACTCTCACCGGTTTGAAGATTCTAAATATCAAGGGTTTTTTGAAAGCGGTAAATAAACAAGGGTATAGGATTTGGATTAAAAGGTAGGTATAATACCAATGTTTTGCTATTCAAGCCCGTGCATTTTATTTTCGGCGCCGTCCCAATTTTTGTGTTGCTACCGATGCTTTTATTGAGTATGTAAGTGTGTTTTTGCCGCCACTTTTTGCGACTCTTTTGTTACATTTTATTTTTAAATCAACCTTTTTAAACACATGCGTACAACCTATCCTTTAAATGAAAAAGCAACTAACTTCAACTCACCTCATAAGCAGTGCAAGCTCTCTAACTCTTTGAACCTCCTCTAGATATTGGAAAGCCCTTGGCATTCCACCTTCATCGCATACAAAACAATTCATTCTGGGTGAACGAAAAAGAAAATATGAGTTTGCTGAAAATCAGATTTTTTGACAAAACTTTTAAACTATGGTGACAGCTACGATAATTATAAAACTGTTTTGTGTCCTGACTCTCAAGGTCTCAAGGGGGTCGGGAGCTCGCCTTCTTTACCATCTTTTTTCTTGGGGTAAAGGGGTAAATCCTTATATTTTATTCGAAAGAAACTTTCTAGCTAAAAAGGAAACAATAATTTTCGGTCTTTTTCCAAGCTTTCTTTAAACCTATTTATTGAGTCTCCTATTGGTCGGGGCAGAGTGGGCCCATGGTATCTTTTGTTTATTTTCCCTAGCTCTACAACATATTAAAATTTAAAAAAAATCGACTGGCCTTTATTTTCCATATAATCCGTGCCATGTCCTTTGAAGTCAATTTGAGACACAGAAATGAAATTATGAGGTTTTTTCCAACTTAATATCAGTGAATGTTAGAAAATTCACATTAAATCTCATTTGAAAAATCCTGAAAAATACTTCGGAGTATCAGATCAATTTCAAACTTTCAGGATTTATTAACTAGGATGTTTTCATCAAACAAGGAAAATTTGAAGTCAATTTGAGGCTCAGAAATGAAATTATGAGTTTTTTCCAACTTAATACCAGAAAAAGTTGAGAAATTCACGTCAAATCACTTTTGAAAAATCCTGAAAAATACTTTGGAGTATCAGATCAATTTCAAACTTTCACGATTTATCAACCAGGATATGTTTTCATCAAACAAGGCAAATTTGAAGTCAATCTGAAGCTCAGAAATAAAATTATGAAGTTTTTTCCAACTTAATACCGGAAAAAGTTGGAAAATTCACATTAAATCTCATTTGAAAAATCCTGAAAAATACTTCGGAATATTAGATCGATTTCAAACTTTCAGGATTTATTAACTAGGATGTTTTCATCAAACAAGGCAAATTTACAGTCAATCTGAAGCTCAGAAATAAAATTATGAGGTTTTTTCCAACTTAATACCAAAAAAAGTTGGAAAATTCACGACCTTTGAAAAATCCTGAAAAATACTTCGAAGTATTAGATCGATTTCAAACTTTCAGGATTTGTTAACTAGGAGGTTTTCATCAAACAATGCAAATTTGAAGTCAATTTGAGACACAGAAATAAAATTATGAGGTTTTTTCCAACTTAATACCAGAAAAAGTTGGAAAATTAATGTTAAATCCCATTTGAAAAATCCTGAAAAATACTTCGGAATATCAGATCGATTTCAAACTTTCAGGATTTATTAACTAGGATGTTTTCATCAAACAAGGCAAATTTGAAGTCAATTTGACAATTAGAAATAAAATTAAGAGGTTTTTTCCAACTTGATACCAGAAAAAGTTGGAAAATTCACGTT